TGGCAAAAAATCTAGGCCTCCAGCAATGTGAAGTTGGCAAGGCCTCCGACAAAGAATGGATCAACAAAAGAGATAAGGGAGCTGACTGGGAGTTATCAGAATCACAGAAAAAGCTGAAAAAGGGACTAAGTAGGAAATTAAAGAGGTTACAATTGGGGATAAAAAAGTTGGAATTTGCAGGAGAAGGGAGTAGAAGAATAGGTAAGGGTAAGACCAACAAAGTTTCAAGATGAAAATCCTGAGCTGGAATGTAAGAGGGTTGGGTGGCAAAACAAAAAGAAGCTTAGTAAAAGATACCCTTAGAAGAGAGAATCCTGACATCATTTTGTTACAAGAAACAAAAAAAGAAGTGGCGGACAGGAAGTTAATCAGAGCAACATGGGGTTTAAGAGGCAGAAATCGGTCTACCCTTCCAGCCATAGGCACATTAGGAGGGATCCTTGTCATGTGGAGAGAAGACGTGGTTACAGGAGTGGAAGTGGACAGAGGCGAATTCTCCCTTTCAATTCTTTTCACAAACAAGGCAGATGATTTCACTTGGATTTTCACTGCAGTTTTTGGCCCTAATGATCCATCAAATAGGAAAAGGTTTTGGGAAGAGTTGGATTCCTTGCATGAACATGATGAGTTTCCTTGGGTTGTGGGAGGAGACTTCAACGTCACGAGATTCTGTCAGGAACACTCCAAGGGGAAGAGGGTCAACAGAAGCATGAGAGAGTTCTCCAACTTTATTTCTAGACATAGGCTGCATGACTTCCCTTTAAGGTATGGTATCTTTACCTAGTCGAACATGCAGGAGAATGCCTTAAGTTGTAGGCTGGACAGATTCCTAATTACTTTAGATTGGGAAGCCCATTACCCCTTGACCTGTCAGGAGATCCGCCCTTGATGTACATCTGACTACTGGCCTATCACCTTAAGTATAGACTTGAAGATTAGAGGGAAAACCCCTTTTAGGTTGGAAAAATTTTGGACGGAACACAAAGACTTCTGCAAAAAGGTTGCTTTATGGTGGGAGGAATGTAAGTTAGAAGGGTGGCCAGGGTACAGATTTTTGGAAAAATTAAAATTTGTAAAAAGAAAGTTAAAAGAATGGGCCAAAGAGGAGTTTAAAGCACTCAAGGAAGAGAAATCAGCTCTCTTATCTGAATTAGAGGATTTAGATCACAAGGAGAAGATTGGCTAGCTAGAGGAGAATGAAAGAAGGAGAAGATTTGAGCTCAGAAAAGAATGGGAAAAGGTAATAAGGAGAGAAGAAGTTTACTGGAGACAAAGATCTAGGGTCATATGGTTAAAGGAGGGGGGCAATAACTCTAGGTTCTTCCATATTTATGCACCTGGTATGTGGAAAAGAAAGATTATTTCAAAATAAAAAATCGGGCATCGAGAAGTGGAAGACCCTGAGGAAATTTCTGAAGCTTTCTTACACTTCTTCAAAGATCTTTATGCAAAGAAAGAAAACAGAAAACTCTCTTTAAACTCTTGGGAAGGACTCAAATTGTCCGAGGAGAACAAATTGTTGCTAGAAAGAGAGTTTCAAGAACAAGAAGTAAATGATGCAGTTTTTAGCATGGACGGAGATAGAGCCCCTGGCCCTGATGGCTTCCCAATTCTATTCTACCAGACATGTTGGAGCATCATTAATTCAGATTTATTACAGGTATTTAATGATTTCCATCATTCAGCCATTGTAAACAAAGGAAACAATTCCAATTTCATATGCCTGATTCCCAAGAGAAAGGGTACTTTAGAACCAAAAGAGTATAGACCTATCAGTCTGATTGGGAGTGTCTACAAATTTTTTGCAAAGGTTCTAGTTGAAAGATTGAAGAAAGTTTTAGGTGAAATCATATTCTCGAATCAATTTGCTTTCATCAAAGGGCGTCAAATAATCGACAACACTCTAATAGCAAACAGATGCGTTGAATAGAGGAAGCTGAATGGCAAACCAGGTGCGATTGTGAAACTCGATTTGGAAAAAGCGTATGATAAAGTAGATTGGGAGTGCCTCATGGAAACTATGAGACTAATGGGTTTTGGAAACAAGTGGATCCAGTGGGTTGAGGGATGCATAAGTTCCACTTGGTTCTCAGTTCTAATAAATGGGCAGCCAAAAGGATATTTTAATGCCAGCAGAGGCCTAAGACAAGGATGCCCCCTCTCCCCATTGCTTTTTACTCTAGTTACAGAAATTTTTAGCCAATTGGTGAATAAGGCAATCTCTTGGACTATTGAGAGGATTTGAAGTCGGATGGGAAGCCACCCAAATATCTCATCTTCAGTTTGCTGATGACACTATCCTTTTTCTAGAAGCTGATGAAGTTTATGTGTCAAATCTGAAAAGGGTCATCACCTGTTTTGAATGGATGTCGGGACTGCAAGTAAACTTCTCAAAGAGCAGTATTGTTGGCATAAATATAGCAGAGGCTCAATCCTTGAATAGCTTCACAGAGATCTTGGGATGCAAAGCAGAGAATCTCCCCTTCTCCTATCTGGGGATGCTTCTTGGAGGGAACCCGAAAAATCAAAGCTTTTGGGATCCAATTCTAGAAAAATGTGAGAAGAAACTAGCCACATGGAAAATGAACTACTTGTCAAAAGGGGGGAAGGCTCACTCTAGTTAGAGCATCCTTGGAAAACCTCCCCACCTACTACCTTTCCATCTTCCGCATGCCCAACAAGATTGCCATTCAGTTAGAAAAACTTTAGAGAAACTTTATTTGGGAAGGAGGGGGGGAAGGGGCTCACACCTTGTGAAGTGGTCTCAGGTTAGCAAACCAAAGGAGAATGGAGGTTTGGGAGTAGGTCATTTGAAAGAAGGAAACACGTCTCTTCTTAGTAAATGGTTGTGGTGATTTCCTCTAGAGCCAACTGCACTATGGACTGCTGTAATCACTAGCAAATACGGGAAGCACGCCAACGGTTGGGATAGCAAGCTTCACTTGAATCGAATCAAAGACACCCACCCTTGGAAAGGTATAATCTCGACTTACAATTTTTTCATATCCTTTATCAGATACAAAGTGGGAAAGGGTGAAGAATTAAGTTTTGGACTGACCTGTGGTGGGGTAATTCTACTTTAGCTAACTCCTTCCCTCGCCTATTCAGCCTTACCTTAAACCAAGAAGCTTCCATATCCCAGGTTTTATCCCCCTCCCCTCTTTACTTCAACTGGAATCTAACCCTTAGGAGACCTTTAAGGGACCCAGAAATTAGTGAATTTTCTAGCTTCTTGCACACCCTGAGAGAGGTCTACCTCTCACAAAATTCCCCTGACCTTCGTGTTTGGATCCTTCACCCATCAGGTAAGTTTTCAACCAAATCTTACTTCAAAGCTTTAGTTAGGGAAGAACAAACTAATGATTAGTACCCCTACAAGAGAATCTGGTTTGCTCATATCCCTACCAGGGTATGTTTTTTTTGTGTGGGAAGCCAGCTTAAAGAAAATCAACACTTTTGACCTCCTTCAGAAAAAGAACCATGGCAGGTATTATTTATCTCCACATGGCTGTTGCTTCTGCTTTAAAGCTGGGGAATCCACCAACCATATTCTGCTCCACTGTGAGGAAACTAGAAAATGCTGGAACTTCTTTCTATCTTTGTTTGAATACAGCTGGGTTTTCCCTGAAAATGTGGTTGATTGCTTAAGGCAATGGTCAGGAAGAGGATTAAGCAAAAGAGGGAAAATCTTATGGCAATCTGCTGCTCATGCTATTTTCTGGAGCATTTGGGAAGAGAGAAACGGCAGGGTCTTTAATAACAGAACAAAAAACTTTGAGGAGCTGATGCCTCTAATATGTTACAGATGCTTCCTATGGACTTCCAGCTCATCTCATTTCAGAGGTGTCCCTTTTGATGACCTCCAAAGAAACGCTGTAATTTTCCTTCACTCTAAACAAATACAGTTCAACACTACCCAAACTTCAGATCTGATGTGGAGGGCGAGACGACCTTGTATTTTGATGGGAGTGCTTTTGGAAACCCAGGTACAGTGGGTATTGGAGGTGTAATTCGAAATAGAAATGGTATCAGTTGAGCTTTTAGTGGGCCGATTGGAATTGCCTCATCAACAAAGGCAGAAGTCTTGGCAGCTCTAACTGGCATCAGGATTGCAAAAGACATGGGTTTACGAAGTCTTACCATTAAAGGAGATTCAACCAACACCATTAACTGGCTTTCTAGTCCTGACAGTGGGCCTTGGACTTTAGCTCACTACCTAGCTGAAGCGAGAGACATTCTTGCCTCTTTAAGTGGCCAGGTGGTCTGGATTCCGAGGGAGCTAAACTCTGAAGCTGATAGTCTAGCTAAATCTGGTGCTTACAGGGATTTTCTCTTTAGTGATAGCTCTATGCCTTTGTAATTTTCTGAGAGTTTTATCTGTCGTGTATATCGCCTCATGTACCTCTCCTTTTGAATAAAGTTAACTTTTTTGTCAAAAAAGATTGTTTCTTAAAGAGAATGGTTTTCAGAAACTAAATGCTGGAATTTTACATTTATCATGATTGAGATCCAAAAAGGGGACAGATGTTTGTATTTCAACTTGAAGAAACTATTCTGAAAATTGCTATATTTTTTACTAGCAGCATGTTCATATTATTTGCTCATGGATTCTGAAGGAGTGAATGTTAAACACTTGTGTTTGCAGCCTTTGATAGTTTTTTCTTTTCTCCCTTTTTGGGGGTCTAATTATGATCTTATCATGCTCATGTGCAATGCTTTTGATTGGGAATTAAGAGAAATTAAAATTGGGGCCATTTACTAAGACACCCTTATAGTTTCACGTAATTACTAAGACCTATCCTATAGTTTGCGTATTACTAAGTCACCCCTTACTTTGCAACTGCTTTACTTATTGCTGGTTCTTTTAGACGGAAGTGTAAAATAACATGGCATTTGGGAGGGGGAGTGTATCTGGCCATCGGGACCGAACTGGTTAGCTTTGACAGACCAGATCTTTCCTGTAGAAAGGGATAATTTTGTTTGGTTGCATGCCGGCGCAGAGCTGAGCTGCTCAAGAAACCCGCAAAGGCCTCTCTATCAGCAAAAGACGCCTTCTAGGGTCTCCACTACCTCAGTCTTGATGGGGGATGTTGTTCAATCGGTTGCTGCGACGACAGGGACAGTACTAGAAGACTCAACTCAAAGAAGAAATCACCCCGCTGGCCATAATTGAAGCCAGAGAGGAAGCTACCCCACAGTTCCAACCGCCAGCTGAAATCCCAAATTATCAGGTACRCGGCTCCTTTTTGATTCGAGAGGGTGGACAAAAAAGGGGAAAGGAGGTRGTTGTGGAGGGGGAGAGGGGTGAGAAAAATGAGGGAAGGAAGAAGGTCGATTCTACTTTGGCCTGGGTGACCTCAAAGCTGTTGGAGCTGGGGAAGTTTTTGGGGGTATCAATAGAGGGCTTGGAGGAGACAGTAGCTACTTAGAGGGGATAGAGAAGAGGTTGTCGGCGGAAAAAGAAAAACTGAACGTTGGAAAAAGGGGGAAGTTCTACCACGAAAAACAGGGAAATGCTAAGACTTTCTTGGGGTTTGAATGAGAAGGCGGGGAAAGGGGAGGGTCAGGTGAGGGGAAGGGGGAAAAGGGGTAGAGAAAAGTGAAAGGCCGGCACAAAGGGAGGGGGGTGTTATCGTATTTTCTTTATGGAGTTAAAAATCTTGTTTTGGAATGTAAGGGGTTTAGGGTTAGGGAGAAGAAAAGGAAAGGCTTTGGGGGATTTATCTGAAGCAAGAGGGCCTTCCACAATTCCTTGGGTAGTAGGGGGAGACTTCAATGTAACTAGATTTTTGGAAGACAGAAATGGAGGTAGAAATGAAGCTAGAGACAAGAGGCGATTTGCAAATTTTGAAATCAATTTGAACTGATAGATCTTCCTCTAATAGGGGCCCAATTTACAAAGACAAACAACCAAGAGAATACTGTCCTAGTAAAACTTGATAGATGTTTGGTGTCCCCGGGGTGGGAAGACCTATTTCAAAACCTGAATCAGCAGGCTTTGCCAAGGCCAATTTCAGACCACTCTTCTCTTCAACTAGTTTGTGGTGGGCAAGTCCGAAGAAAGTCAAGCTTTATATTGGAGCATGCTTGGTTTGAAGAAGAAGACTTTGTACCTTTTTTAAAAAATACTTGGACTGAAACTCATGTGGTTGGAACAAGCTCTTACATCTTAGCAAAAAAATTGGGTGTAATTAAGGAGTCTTTGAAATCTTGGAAGGCAGAAAATCGGAATAAGTCAGAAAAAGAAAAGAGGAGGTGTCTTGAGGAAATCAAAGAGATAGATACAGCAGAGGAAAGAGGCCCCATTTCAAAATCTCAACCCCATATGTTGCAGCTAGAAACTCTGCCCTTGCCACATCACCCTCCTCCACAGGATTGGAGTACAGAGCAATATCATCTCTAATGACGCCCNCCCCCCCAATGCCTGAAGGGCCTGGGTTACCCACACAACTCCCATCAAAGTTCAGCTTCTTCTAACCATCAGTTCATTAGAGGAACTGATGAAACCATCAGTTTATCTCTAATGGCTCCCCCAATGCCTGAAGGGCTTGGGTTCCAACCATTTTCATCTCTAAAAGGTTTGAAACCCCGGTCCAGATGGGCTTACCAATTTATTTTACAAAAGTTGTTGGGAAGTGGTGAAAACAGATTTAATGCAGGTTTTCCAGGAATTCCATAGGAATGCCTCTTTGAAAAGAAGCCTAAATGCCATGTTCATCTCTTTGATCCCGAAAATTGAAGGAGCCACAAACTTGAAGGATTTCAGACCTATTAGCCTCCTAAACAGCTTCTACAAGATTCTGGCCAAGGTTTTGGCAAAGAGGTTGAAAAAGATACTGTCGAGTGTGATCTCTCAAAATCAGTTTGCGTTTGTCCCCGGGTGCCAAATGTTGGACATTGTCTTGGTAGCAAATGAATTAATTGATTCAAGGTTAAGAGAGGGAAATCTGGGCCTGATTTGTAAACTTGACCTTGAAAAGGCCTATGACAATGTCAATTGGAGATGTTTGGACTGCGTGTTGGATAGAATGAATTTTGGAGGAACTGGATAAAAGTTTGTCACCTCTCCCAAGTTTTTAGTCATCCTAATTCCTAAATGGCCAATCAGTGTTTTTTTCTTTTTTTAATTCTGAGGGGCTTAGACAAGGAGACCCTCTCTCCCCTCTATTCTTCATTTGTGTGATGGAATTACTTGCAATTTTCATTCAAAAAACAGGGGAGGGGTGGTGGTGGAAGGGCGTTGAGGTGGTTCCAGGAGGGGAGAATGTTCAGGTACTACAATTCACTGACGACACTTTGTTTTATGGAAGCCAATGAGGATCACTTAGACTTATTAGTGGGAGTTCTAAGCTGGTTTGAAGTTGTGACAGGACTGAAAGTTAATTGGAGCAAAAGCTGTTTGATCCTAGTGGGAAAAGTGGAAAATGCAGAGGACTTGGCAGAGAGATTAGCTTGTCAGGTGGGGTTCCTTCCAACAAAGTATTTGGGACTCCCTCTAGGAGCAAAATGCACTTCAGTAATGATCTGGGAACCAGTCTTAGAGCAGTTGGAAAAGAAATTGGCAACTTGGAAGGTTAAATACTTGTCCTTGGGGGGGGGGGCAGAATTATCCTTTTAAAAAGCTCCTTATCCAACTTGCTGGCGTTTTATCTCTCCTTATTCCCAATTCCAAGTAAAGTGGCCCAAAGAATTGAGAGGCTGCAAAGGGACTTTCTATGGAAAGGTTGGGAGGAGGATAGGAAGAAAATCCACTTGGTGAATTGGGATAAGGTGTGCTCTCCAAAAAGTAAAGGAGGTTTGGGTATTAGGCGAATGAGGACCTTCAATAAGGCTCTTCTTGGGAAATGGATCTGGAGGTTCGGGTTGGAAAGAAACTACTGGTGGAGGAAGTTAATGGCATCTAAATACAACACTATAGAGGAGATTGGATTACCACTTCTTCTCCCCCCTCCCTAGGCTGTTCTGTATGGAGGAAAATAATGGACATTCTCCCCATTTTCAGTAGAGGTTTAAGCCCCAACCTTGGGAAGGGGGACAAGCTATCCTTATGGAAAGATCCCTGGTGTGGAAAAACTCCTCTTTCAGAGCTATTCCCACATCTATTTCAGTTAGCTGATTTTTTTTTTTTTGATCAATAGCACTTTCATTAATTCATCAATAGAAGATTTACAAAAGGAAGACAAACACGCTTATCTTCCAAGAGCAACAA